TCACTGAATAGTGATTAATTGCCTAATGTTTATGAAGTTTAGCTTTCGAGCGAAACTCTATGATTGCCCAGACTCAGTTAGTAAACGTGTTGCTGAAATAACAAATTTGTTTGGGCGCGTGGCTGAAATCCAGTCGGTAATTGAGCAGACCACCGAACATCGTGATGCACTCCTTCGGGAAACTGCTTGTAAAGCTCGTCATTGGGATATCAAAGTTTGTTTTCAGTAATCATAAAACATAGTTTATTTAGAAGTTTGTTATGTACGGCCAAATTTTCGGGATATCTTTTACCTACATGCTCAACAGTTTATTTTTTAAACAAATGCAAAGAGAATGATTAGCAGTGACTTTATAAGAATTTTCAAGAACTGAGTTTTAGGAAGTTACGACTGATACGTTGCGGCCGCTCACTTGCCAACTGAGAATCTTTGTACACTTCTACGTGCCGGTGCAAATAATGTTGATGAAGTACATTTAGGTACAAAAAATAAGGGCAATATTTGGAGTGATGAATTTGTTCAATATGAATGTTACGCAAAAATGTCTAATTGCGGAGTGCTGGATTCCAACGGCAGACGTGCCACACATTCGAGATTCATTGGACACTACCAGTATGGTCGGTTCTGCACTAATAGCTCCTCTCAACATGTTTAGTATATTTGAAAATTACTGGAGGTATTCGCTCTCATGAAATCACTTTTAAGTGACCGATTTGCAGCCGAATAAATTTGTTAACAAAAAATTTCTTCGCAGGGCGTTGGTGATTCGGTGGCACCGTCATTCCTTTACGAAGTTGGATGCAGTCAAATACCGCCAACTTATTTTCGACTGAATAAGTTTACGCACTCCTTTCAGATGATTGTCGACTCCTACGGCATAGCAACTTACCGGGAAATCAATCCAGGTCTTCCTTTTAAAGCTTTTGTCTTGCCACTTCTATTCCGTTCCTCCGTTTGGGGATGCTTGGTCCTGGGCTGCGTACCTCCAGTTAGTATCCATCGTTTGTTCAATGGATGTTTCTTTTTTATATTGTTTTGGAAGAGAGTTCGATTTCATTAGCCAAGAAAAGTTTGCTTCAATCTATTTCAGCTTGTTTTTGTTTGAAGTTAGATTTTTGAAAATCGCTCACCGTGGAGAGAAATGTTCGGCGGGAACTGATAAGGAGTCATTAATATACTGAGATGCAGCCATAGTCCAAGTGCATCTGTATCAGGCTCTTTCGCTCTGAAG